GAGAAGAAAAACCAGGGAATGACCTCAACAGACTCATCACAAAATACAATATCCAAATGAGTAATAAGCATGTGAAAAAAATCCTCAATGTCATTGGTGTTCAGCAATATTCAAATTCAAAACAGGAGATTCTACTTAGGAGACACCACAATAAGCTACATACTGGAACTGCCGAAGTGAAAAGGTCTGACAATACTCAGTGTTGAAAAGGAGATGAGGAAACTGGAACCTCTGAACACAGGTGGTGGGAGTAAAGTGGTACACACATTTGGTTGCTATGGGTTGGGAGTGGGCAGAAAGGGATTGCCGTAAAGGACACAAGGGGATGCTTGGGGACAGTGGAAGTATTTTATATGTTGATTGTGGTGACAATGACTCAAACTTATCACAGCTGACATTAAAAAGGATATATTGTATCAGATGTTAAGTATACTTCAATTAAACTGACTTTTTTTTTCAATCCTGGGGACTGAACCCAGGGCCTCCACTAAATTACATCCCCGACCCATTTTATTTTATTTTTTTATTTTTTTTTTGGTACCGGGGATCGAACTCAGGACCTTGTGCTTGTGAGGCAAACACCGAACTACTGAGCTAAATCCCCGGCCCCCCGACCCATTTTAATTTAAAAAATTTTTTTTGGATGCAGGGTCTCACTAAGTCACTCAATTTCCAGGCTGGGCTCAAACTTCTGATCCTCCTGCCTTGGCCTCTCATAGGTGTGTACCCCCACACTCACCTTAAACTGAATTTTTAAAAAATGAAAATAAAGGTGGAACAGTCTGGAGGTGGGGCTTCTACCTTAATAATGGGTAAATTATTTAAATTCTATGTCTCGGTTTCCTCATCTTTGAAATGAGTTGATAGTAACAATCCTTACTCCTATAGGTGTCATTAAAAGCTCAAAAAGACAGAATATGAGCCTGGTCTGGTGGCACAGCCCATAATACCAGCTACTTGGAAGGCTGAAGCAGGAAGATGGCATTGAAGTCAGCCTGGGTAATTTAGGGAGACCCTGTATCTAAATAAACAAATACCAATAAATAAAGAGCTAAGGATATAGATCCACACTTCCTGGGCTCAATCCCCAGTACTGGATGATGGCAGAAGAATCTCTGTTTTGTTTTGTTTTGGGTTTTTTTGGTACTGGGGATCGAACTTGGGACCTTGCGCTTGTGAGGCAGGCAGCGGAACCACTGAGCTAAATCCCTAACAAGAATCTCTGAAATGGCAAGAATGTTGGCTGTGTAGGTAGTTATCTGTGACATGGTCCAGTTGGATCCTGATTTAGGGTTTTTCAGCTTTCTAATGGTGCAAAAGCAATATGCATTCAACCCGGGTGTGGTGGCGCAGGCCTGTGATCCCTGCACTGGGAAGGCTGAGGTAGGAGAATTGCTGATCTATGCCGTGCAGTGGGTCAGGCAAATTTCAACACAATATTTTCCATGTGGGATGGGGTGAGGGGCTGTAGCTCCAGCGTAAGCCCAGGAACATTCTCATAAGTAAATGCCAAGGCCTCCTGCACCCTGGAGCTGGGGCTGTGCCAGCATGGTGCCTGCGGAGTGGGGGAGCGGGCAGCTCTGCAGGGTGTGGCGGCACATGCAATCCTGGGCTCAGGGTGCTGTAGGAGAGCTCCTACACTGCAGCGATGATGCTCGAGAGACAAGGCCACAGAAGGACACGTGTCAGTTTGGGGACATCCGTCCCAAACTGGATGACTTAATATTAATGGAAATGCAGGTTTTTTTAAATGCACCAACCCAACCTCACCCTAAGACATCCGGATCCAGCAGGTTGGACTCAGGAAACTGTGATTTCTAAAACTTTCCTCAGTGATTCTAATGCATACCCAGAAATGAGAACCATTAATGTAGAGAAAGGTGCTGAATGAATGAACAATGTCCTCAAACTACTGACTTTGCCTCTACACCCACCAAACAGCTTTCAGATTTGATGGACTTGCTGATGGGGGAAGGGACCCCATGCAGTGGGCAGTGTGTTGACCACAGTGCTGCTTCTTGCTGTATCTTTAGGGAACCTACTTCTGGCCCTGGCAGCTAACCCATTGGTATCTGGTTCAGAACTGTCGATAATTTGCATCGTGTCTATTCTAGACAGGGTACTCTGATTTCTGGGCATTTAACACTAGGAACAGGCTAGGCAGGATGTTGCATGCCTGTAATCTTAGGTCTCAGGGAGGCTGAGGCAGGAGGATTGCCAGGAGCTCAAAGCCAGCCTGGGCTCCATAGTGAGTTCAAGGCCAGCCTGAACTACAAAGCAAGACCCTGTTTCAAACAACAAGAACAACAGATTAGGAACAAATCTGATGATTGTGTCAAGATTATAAATGTCACCGAGAAGTCTTACCACGAACCTTACTCAGCATGCTAGATAAATAAACAAATAAATATAAAATGGCAATGAAGGGTAACAGAGGGATTTGAGCCATGTTTTGTTTTCATTCTCTTTTCTGATTTTTCATTTCTTTTAAACAAATAAAAAGTCAGAGCTACAGTCATTGGGTTTTGTTGCTTTTTTTTTGTTTTTTTGTTTTTTGGTACTGAGGATGGAACTCGCGACCTTGCACTTGCAAAGCAGGTGGCAGAACCACTGAGCTGAATCCCTGGCCCAGTCATTGGGTTTTTATTCCCTGTGGCAGCTGGAGAAGGGTCTTTCCTGCCAGAGGCCTGGGCATTTAAGATACCCACAGCAGAACTGCTCAGGGGTTGCACATTTAGAATTTTGACTTCTAGGATGATACTGTCTGCCTTGCATACACACCCAGATTTTTTAAAAAAGCAAACAGAAACCCCAAACCAAACAATTATAGGTGGACACAGTGATGAACATCTGTAATCCCATCCTTCTGGGAGGCTGAGGCAGGAGGACTGCAAGTCCTTGCCTGGTTTGGGTAATTTAGCGATTTAAAGAGACTCTGTCTCAAAATAAAAGATAAAAAAGGGCTGGGGATGTAGCTCAGCGAGAAGGCCCTGGGTCCGAAGAACCCCAGCACCAGAACAAACGAACACAAAAACAACTACAAAACGCCAATTTTTCATCTGCGAAGTCACCGCTTGGAAGACGACTCCTCAGACTTGGAATTCTCCAGCCAGCATTCTCGAAACCTTTGTGTCCCGACATTTACAGTTCCTAGCGGCCTCTATGAGGCGGCCTTTCAGGGAAGCCAGCTCAGGGGCTGAGGCCCAGGGGAACCCGATGGGGAGGGGCCGAGGTCCGACTCAGTCGCTGCCCCGCTGGATCCCTGGCTGCCATGGAGACCGCTGTGCGGAAGCTTCCCCGAGGGAGGGGCGGGGTGGCCCAGCTGGGGCGGAGCAGGGGAGGAGGAAATTCCGGGAATCCCCAGGACCTGGCTCCAGGAAAGCAAAAATAACCGGAGCACGCCAACGCCAACACCAAGGCTCGCAGAGACCGGAGACCGTGAGGCCCTCCACGCCCTGCGTCTTTGTCTGTCTGTCTGTCTGTCTGTCTGTCTCTCTCTCTTTTCCCACCCTTCTCTCTAAACATCTCCCTGGTTCCTTCCCAAATTAAATAAAAACACGTGTTGTGAGTTCAATGAAATTACTCGTGTTCATTTTTATAGCGGTATTAAAGTCAACTTCGTGTAAGTGGCTTTTGTCCCTTAAAAAGATACTTTTTTTGCAGCTGTGTGTCGCTGTAAATTAGTTTCCTTTGCAATACAATGGATGTAATTCCCTGCTTTGAATGACTTTGTTCTGAAAAGGGTCGGGGTGAAGAAGGTGGTCAGTAGCCATGGATGGGCAGCTGAAGGGAGAAGGTGACATTTGAGCATAAGGCTGAGGAAAGTGGGGGAGACTGACTAGAGAAAGGGGGTTGCAGAACACTGGCTGGGAAAGGAACGCATGTGCAAAGGCCCTGGGGTGGCAGCAAGCCTGGCCTGCTGGTACGGAGGGAAAAGGCAGGCATGGGGAAAAGGCAGATTTTGCAGCAGTTACGGGCTGTAGGGCTGTGCCTAAGACTTGGTTCAAACATCAGGGCCTCCGCTTAGGGGTGTGTGGCTTCAGACCAGCCTCAATCCCCATCCACGAATAGGCTCCAGGCAAGGTAACCACCACTGTGATGGTGGTGGTGTGGTCTGGTTTGTTGCTGAGCTGGCTGCCTCAGAATTACCCAGGAAACAGTAGCAAATCCTGACCCAGGATGTTTGTGGTGGAGTCTAAGGACCTTGGATTTTATTGAATTTATTTTAACTTTTGTGTGCATGTGGCAGTACTGGGGATTGAACCTATGGAGCACTGAGTTACATCCCCACTGCCTTTTAAAATTTTATTGTGAGACAGGGTCTCACTAAGCTCTCCAGGCTGGCCTCAAATTTTCAATCTTCCTGCCTCACCCTCCTGAGCAGCTGGGATTACAAGCGACTCGCACCACCCTGTCTGGCTAATTAACGTTTTTGATTGCTGAGTATCCAAGTAATTCAAGTGAAAGCACACATCTCTCCTGCCTGGGGGGCAGGGTCCTCCCTTTTCCCAGAAATAGGCACTGCTGGCAGCTCCTGTATAAGTGACAGCCCAGGTACACGTCTGGACTCTGCTCTGCATGGAAAAATCAGGCTGTGCTGGATGAAAATCCAGGCTCCTTTATGGTGAGGTTTTCATAGAAAGCATATAGCTCAGTGGCTCCACTGCCTGCCTCCAAAGAGCAAGGTTCTGAGTTCGATCCCCGATACAAAAAAAAAAGAAAGAAGGGCCGGGGATTTATCTCAGTGATTCTACCACCTGCCTCGAAAGTGCAAGGTCCTGAGTTTGATCTTGGGTACCAAAAAAAAAAAATTAATTTAATTTAATTTAAAGAAAGAAAGCACATAGAATAAAGGTGGTCCATGAAAAAGTGCTCCATAAATCTTGCCTAGCCTGAGGCACCTTATTCTTTTCTTTGCGTAGCATTTCTTTTTTTCTTTTCTTTTTTTTTCAGTGCCGGGGATCAAGCTCCGGACCTTGCGCTTGTGAGGCAGGAAGCGGAACCACTGAGCTAAATCCCCGGCCCAGGTGCATGGTATTTCACTATAAGTATATTCTTCCTGGTGAGCTTAGGTTTGTTCGTTCACTCTACAGTATTTACTGAGCGTGAACTGTGTAGGAACCGTCGCGCTAGGGACCAGCCCCATGCGGTACGGGGTTGGAAGTGTTGGTACCCACGGTGCTGTGAATTTACAATGGTACTGGTTGGTGTCATGGCTCCCCAAGGCCCCCTACATCAGCACACGAAAAGAGGGCAGATTGGGGCACACAGCCTTTGGGGAAGGTGCTGACGTGGGCCCCAGAGAGGCTGGGGGCGCGGCCTCAGGCCTGGAGGAGGGGAGTGAGGCGGCCCCGCTGGGAGCGGCCGGCGGCCCTGTCAGTCTCGGCTGTAAATTTAGAAGGGGAGGTGGGCCTCGCTCCGGAGGGGCGCGGAACTTCCTGCCCGGCGCCCCAGGGCTCAGGGCTCTTCAAGGTCGCTGTGACAAGGGGCCGGGGCGGCCCCGACCCTCCCGCGGACTGCACTGAGGCCTCCGGGCGCCTCGGCCTGCTGAACAGCCACACCGAGCTGTCTTTGTCTACGAGGTCCTCTCCTAAGTCCCCCGCCGAGTTCCTGGCGCGGGACGGGAGCAGGAAAAGCTCCCGCAGCCCGGGCGCCCGTCTTGGAGCCGGGATACCACGTTGGCACCTCGGAGTGGGCCCTGACCTCCTCCTGGCTCACGTAAGCACGTTGGGAAGGGATTGCCACCAATCCTGGGCAACAAGGCCCGGCCAGGACTGGACTTGCTGCAGGCCGCGAGCTTGGGCGGGACTGGCCCCCACCCCTGGCTGGGAGGCGCGACTCCGGCCGCTCGGCTGGGACCTCTTTCCCCCTTCCCCCGGCACTAGGGGCTCTAGGCAATTTGTTTGGGCTCCTTGCCCCCAACCCCAGATTTCACCCTGGAGATCTTGAAGACTCTGGAGAGAAGCCATGTGGGGGGCTGCTTCCCCTGGGGCTTCCTCCCGTCCCCCGACTGCCTGATCCTCTGGAGCGTCCCCGATGTCTGCAAAGATGTCGATCTGGACGTCCTCGTGGAAGCCTTGAAGCCCGTGGGGACCTTCAAGAAGATCGGCAAGGTGTTCCGAAAGGAGGAAGACTCCACGGTGGGGATGCTGCAGATCGGGGAGGACGTGGACTACCTGCTCATCCCCCGCGAGGTCAGGCTGGCCGGGGGCGTGTGGAGGGTCCTCTCCAAGCCCGCCACCAAGGAAGCGGAATTTCGGGAGCGGCTGATCCAGTTTCTGGAGGAAGAGGGCCGCACCCTGGAGGACGTGGCGCGCATCATCGAGAAGAGCACCCCGCACCCGCCCCAGCCCCCCAAAAAGCCCAAGGAGCCCCAAGCCAGGAGGAGAGTCCAGCAGGCGGTCACCCCAACACCTTGCCTGGTCGTCGGCACCTACGACAGCAGCAACGCTAGCGACAGCGAGTTCAGCGATTTCGAGGCCTCCAGAGTCGAGGGCAACCGAGGCTCGGGGCGGGCCCGGAAGGCGCGCAGAATGCCCGTCAGTTACTTGGGCAGCAAGTTCCTGGGGAGCGACCTGGACAGGGAGGACGACGAGGAACTGGTCCAGGCCTTCCTCCAGCACCAGGAGAAGCAGCCCAGTGCGCCGCCTACTGGCCGCGGCGTCCACCTACCCGTGCCCGTGTTTGAGGACAACCTGGGGCTCCAGCTGTCCGAAGCGGACAGGCAGCAAGAGTATGCCAGCCAGGTGCCCTGGGCGAAGCTGAAGCAGAGGTTGAAGGGGAGTTGGGCCCTGAGACCTGGCCCTGCGGAGGTCGAGGCTCACCAGGCCCCCGTGGCTGCGGAGAGAGATGGGGCGTCCACCAGCGGGGGGGCTGATCCGGCCAGCGCAGGAGCGAGGGTTGTGCCCGAGCGCTCCCCCAGGCGATGGAGACCCAAGATCACCTGGGCCTCCTTCAGGCGTCGCAGGAAAGATGAGACCGCGTCCTCGGCTCAGGGGGCAGAGGTCCCAGCTGAGCAGGGTGCCGAGGCTGCAGATAATCAGGGGGCAGAGGCCTCAGTTTCCCAGGGAGCAGGAGCTGCAGATGATCAGGGGGCAGAGGCCATCGCTGAGCAGAGGGAAGGGGCTGGAGCCCAGGCTATCCAGGAAGCTGGATCTTCAGCTGGCCAGGGCGGCACAGGGACAGCCCCAGGAGCCAGGCCCCAGAAACAGGTCAAAACAGTGAGGTTCCAGACCCCTGGACGCTTTTTGTGGTTTCGAGAGTGCAGGAGAGCCCTCTGGCACACTCCCCAGCCGCCAGCCCTGCCCAAGAGAGTCCCCAGGGCAGGGGAGGGCAGGAGCCTCAGGGTGCTGAGGGCAGAGGCCAGGGCAGAAGCGGGGCAGGGAGAGCAAGAAGACCAGCTGTGAGGGGGGCCCTGCTGCGGCCCTGGGGTCCCCACCTCCCTCCAGAGGCAGGTGGCGGGGCAGGCAGTACCTCCGTCTCCCCTGGGGACCCTCTCTCTGACTTATTATATCTCGTGTGCATTGATACTTGTTTCAGTACTGACTCCTTTTAGCATCCCAAAGACTGTCAAGAAAGGAACTGAGATGGTGGGGTTCTGTTGCCCATGCTTTTAGCTTTCTCAGATGCAGCCCTCAGTGTTCAGCTTGGAAACTGAGGGTACAGGTCGGGAGGGAGGGTTCTGTCCTGCATCCCTTTGCCTGCACACTTAGCATCTATGCCTCCTTGAACTTGAGAGGAGGACTCAAGCCAACATTCGAATAAAAACATTTACCAGTTGATTTCTAGGCCTCAGACTGGGCAATTCACAAGCACTCTGGGGTGATATGGCCCTTGCTGGGTGCTCTCCCATCCCGGATGACGGGCACCCTCTCTCTGTTGTCACTTTGCTTTCCATCCCTGTGTCCCTGGCCTTTGTGAGTTTGGCAGTACAGGGCCTGTGGTTCTCACACTTCAACCAGATATTGGTAATGAGCTACAAAAAGTCAACTGGGAAACACATTCAAAGCACAGATTCTGGGGTCCTTGGCACTGAGAAGTAGCTTTGCCTGAGCTGACCGTGGGACCTTCAAAGCTGTTTAGATCAAGCCCCACAAACTATGGGGCTTGGCCACTGGATGAACTGAAAAGTTGTTATGACCGGAAGCGGGTCTGGAGTCCTGTGCCATGATGGTTCTTATAATTGGGAATGAGGAGTGGTCAAGGCCTTGTGGGGCCGGGGAGGAAACCGAGGGAACATCTCTATTGGCTCATGGCCCTGTGACGCCCAGCAAAAAGACAGCGAAACCAGCTCAAGTCCACCCTGCTCATGGCAATCCTGTTTACAGGTGGGGGAGTTGAAGAATTATACCCACTCCCCCCTTTTTTTTGTACCTGGGATTGAACTTGGGACCTTGAACTTTTGAGGCGGGAGGTGGAACCACTGAGCCAAATCCCTGGCTGGTTTTTTTTTTTGCAGGGTGGGGGATCCAACCCAGGGCCCCATGAATGCCAGGCAAGTGCTCTGCTCGAAGGAAGCGGTTGCTCCTGATGACGCATGGGGCTGTGTGGGGAGCAGTCGGGTTGGTGGGGCTGGTGGAACTGCGCCGTGCTGCTGCAGCCGCAGAGGACAGTGAGCTCATGACCGCAGGGACCTGGGGAGCTGGACGGTAAAAGGGACAAGCAGAGCGATGGTGACACCATGGAGCCTGAGTGGGTTTCTACACGATCTCCCTGCAAGGTCTGGAGCTCAAGGGGTCTTGGGGTGACAGCGGGTGCTCCGGAGAGAAAGAGGTATGCACCACACAACAGAGGAAAGAGAAGTTTGACACAGGGCTGTGCCCTGCACAGGCCTCAGCCACACCCAGCCACACCTCCCTTGCTGCCATGCCAGTGTGCATGTGACACACGCAGACATGACCACAGCACATCCAACATGGGCACAGACGGCAGAGCTACGCTCACCCACAGATCCACTGGCTGATCAAAACAGTGTGGGCTTACACTTTTTTTTGTTACTGGGGATCCAACTCTGGTTCTTGCGCTTTCAAGGCAGGCGGGGGGGAACCACTGAGCTAAATCCCCGGCCCAGGTTTACATTTTAAAAACTTGTCAGAGCAAAAGATGCTACCATGAATCCCCCTGAAAAGTCTCCCCCCTCAGGCTGGGGTTTTAAACTCAGTGGCGCCACACCTGTGTAAGGTCCTGAGTTTGATTCCCAGTACCGGAAAAAAAAGTCTACCCCTCACTTCAGACACACTTATGTCATCATCCGAGCTGCTTCCTGAAGCAGTCCTGGAAGTCCTCTTTTGAGTTCAACAATAGAGTGAATACCGCAGCGCAGCGCCATCCATGGGTCGACTTCCGGCTCTTCCCCAAAGTCCAAATGACCATGAAAGGCAAACACTGAATCGATTCAGGATACGAAGGACCACAGAGCAGCTAAAGGGGTATGCAGCGCTCACGCTTAGCCTCAGACCCATTGGTCTGCACATACAAGGAAGCCCCTACCCGGCACATCCTCGCCCTCACTGCACTCACAAATGCCAGCAATCGTGCCTGGGCACGGGACGCGGGCACACGCACGTGCAGTCACCGAAAATCGTCACTCCTCCCTAGGGTCTATTTTTTACAGCCTTTCTGAGCAGCCCTGAGACATGGGCAGATCTGTGTCCCCTGAGCCTCACTGTCCCTCCCCCGGCGGGGGACACAGACGTCTCTGCCCTCCTGGCCCCAGATGTCCAGCCTGAGCAGCCAGGGAGGCCCCGGAGCGGGGGAGAGCCCCTGGGTAGCAGGGTGTCCAGTACTGGTGTGAATACAAAGGGGTTCCAAGAGGTACCTGTAAGGCCCAGCCCCCGAAGGCGCCTGGCGGTCCGAGGCCCAGTGGAGCTGGGGGTTCAGGGCGCAGAGCAGTGGCCCGGCCCCCGCCCGGCGAGCAGCGCGGTTTGAAGCAGCGGGGTCAGAGCGCCTCCTGGTGGGCATCACAACTCGCGCAGGCCTTTGCAGGCCCTCGAGTTCTCTTTTGGGCTCGAGGCAGGAGAGGGTCCACTGCCCCTCTGCTCTTCCCTGGGTCAGGTCTAGAAAGAGGCCACACCCCTGGGGGTCCCGGAGGCCCCTTTTCCCGACTGAGGAGGCGAGTCCACGTTCCCTTCCTGTCCCTCTGAGCCTTAGTTTCTTTACCTGGGAAATGAAAGTGAAGACCCTTCTTTCACCCTGTTCCCCCCAAAGGCACTCTCTTCCCCGCAGACATGAAACCGAGGGAAACCTTAAATAAACCCTCCAGCTTTACTTGCTTTTAGTTGGGTTAAAAAACCCCTATTTTAGCAGGGGGTGGTATGATGGGATGGGTGGGGAGCCTAGTCCCGGTGAGGCTGGCGGCTGAGGCAGGAGAGCAACTTGCAGTTAGGAGTTTGAGGCCAACCTGGGCAACACAACACAGACCCTGTCTCAAAAAAAAAAAAAAAAAAAAATCTAGAGGTCACGCAGTTGAGCAATGTGTTATTCATTTCCCCTAGCCTGACACCAGTAGATGACACCTAGGACCGAACAGGTCTATCCCAAGTGGGGAGACCACGGAGCCCTCACTTGGGCCCAGGCAAGTGTGAAATGTGACTTCTTTGGCTGGGCGTGGTGTTGCACGCCTGTAATTCCAGCACTCAGGAAGGCTGAGGCAGGAGAATCACTGCGAGTTCGAGGCCAGCCTGGACTACATAGCAAAACACTGTCTCAAAAGCCCCCCCCCGAAAGAAATGTGACTTCGTTGAGGCCAAACATAAGATCACGCTAATGTTGCCCCCTCCCCATACTGAGGATTAAACCTTGAGCTTTTGCATTGAGCTACATCCCCAGCCCTTTTTGATTTTTGTTTTTGAGACGGGGTCTCGTTAATTGCCCAGGCTGGTCTCAGGTTTTCAATCCTCCTGCCTCAGCCTCCCAGAGTGCTGCGGTGACAAGTGATCCCCACTGCGCTGGGTTTAGTGCTACCTTTTTCTGAACAGGGCCCGTAGCGAGCCTGGAAGGTAAAGTACAGGTGCGCGGACCACAGGCGCCTTCCCCAGAGATGTCCCCAAGGCTTATCCCCGGGGAGGCGGCTCTCATCTCACAGGGCTGCCTCAAGAATAAACGCTTTCTCCTCAGCCAGGTCCTTGCTCAGTGATTGCATCCTGTGTGCGGGGTAAAATGGGCCAGGTTTGGTGGCGAACATCTACATCCCACTCTATTCAGCCCCAGATCTGAGCAGAACACAGACTCCAGCGAGCTTGGGGGCCCCGCTCCGCCTGGTCCAGCTGGGCTCGGCTTCCCCGCGGCCCTGCCCAGCCGCCCTGCTGCACTCTTGCTCTCTGCTCCCCTGCTCAAAACTCTCTGCGCCTTCCAACGACTCACCGCGGCCTTCAAAGCCCTGCCAGGCCGCAGGTCGCGCCCAGCCCCAGCCCTTTCCTCTCCTCTTAAGGCTGTGTCACGTTCTAAACTCCATTCCACCGAAACAGCGACCCCTAGAGGCAGGTGGCCTATTTTGGAGCGGCATTGAGCCTGGCACGGGAGGGGCCAGTGTTTATTCGCTAACAAATTCCTAAGGTCATGGCTCCCAGACTGCATTTTTTTTTTTTTTTTTTGAGATAGGATCTGAATAAATCGCTAAATTGTCCAGGCTGGGCTTGAATTTGCGATCCTCCTAGCTCAGCCTCCTGCGTAGCTGAGATCACAGGTGCACACCAGCACACCTGGCTGGAATGGATTACAATTCTAATGGGGGGGGGGGGTCAGGGAGCCCTCCTCAGCAATGTGATGTTTGAAGAAGGGCTGCAGGAAGGAAGAAGCCATGTAAGTATCCTGGGGAAGGTCAACCGCAGTGCAAAGGCCCTAAGGCAGGAATATGCTTGGTGTTCCGGAGATGGGGTGGGGGGTGAAGCCACTTGGGACTCGGAGAGGGTGGTGGAAAATGAGACGGACAGATAAGGTGGAGGCAAAGTGTGTGGACCAGAGCTGGTCCAGACGGCTCAGAGACATAGATGCTTAGTTTTTATTACACTGAATTTGACATTGTCCCATGTGGGTAGTGGCTACTTTCCTGAACAGAACAAAGTCCGTCATTATAAGGTCTTTGGCTTTGACTCTAGTGACACACGAAGCCATTAGAGAGTTTGGAGAGGGTTTATAAGTCACACAGGCTAAGCCTGGCCCGGGTTCAAACTAGCAGGAAAATTCTGTCTCCGAGTGGGAAGCACCAGGAGGCTACAGGGAGCCCACGATGCGCACGCTGCGCCCTCTGGCGGCCGCGGAGAAGCGCCCTGGCATCCAACTCTCCGGAGCATCAGGTCAAGGTGGAGGGGTCACTTTGGTAACCCGGAGGTGGCAGCAAGGATGCTCATTGTTTTTGGGTGCAAAGAGGGTTAAATAGTGCCTGAAGGGCCAGCCCCCAAATTCAGCCTTTGGGCCTGTGGTTTCAAACACGGTGATCAGAGCGTCACCCTAAAACCGAGGCCTCCGAATCTGCCGTCACCTGGACCAGCTCAGCCGCCACTCACTTCTCAGAGAAGAAGGAAGTGACGCAGATGTGGAGGGGACAGAGCCCGCTCTCCTGTCCCAGACCGGCCAGGGGACCCCACCCCCACCCCCGGTTATCTGCCTCAGACCTCAGGCCCGTTACTGCCTCTCGGTGCCTCCGTTTATCCCGAGAATCGCGCTCTGCTAGCAAGCAAAGCGGGGACCTGTGCTCCCCGAAAGCTTCAACCCTGACCCCTACCGGCCATGACCCCTCGCGCTGGGTCCTGTGTTCCCCCAAACCTGCTTCCTTCTGCTTTGG